GAAGGAAACACTTAAACCTTGCTATAGTATTGCAGTATTGTTAACAGTTGTCTTTAGTATTGCACATACTTTTATAGAGAATAGAGAAAAATGGTGCAAAGCGCATATTGTTTTTCAAAGTTGCTTGCACTTCAGAGCTGTTGCACTATTAGGATTAACATATAGTATTTTTAAATAAATGGTGCACAAAAAAAAGCACGTGCCCACTAGTACTTCGCGCTTACTACTGCACATGACCGAAGTGCTTCGGGTTCACACAAGCTGCAGTCACTGGTAAAGAAGAGGAAGAAGACACACAGGAATGGCAGAGAAAGTACAACCAGCTCCACCTAAAGTGTTGACTTCAGCAGCAGCTTCACTCTACAGGAAGATGGTAGCAGTAAAAGCTGCAATGAAAAAACTGGAGTCAACACCGATGCCGCTTTTCAATAATTCCTTCAACTGAGGGAAAATAGGAGCTAAAAAGTGATGCGATGGTGGCTGTATTTCTGTGTTATACTAACGTAGGTAACTGCTTCATATGCTGTTTCAGCTATTTAATCATAGACTAACATATGTTTTATGTATTAGCCAAAGCTAACATTAGATAACACTGTGGGTGTAAACAACATCAACTAAATAAACAGTTGCAGCTGACTCTATGTTTACACATAACGTTGCTTTGTAATGTAATCTGTGTAGCGCATATGTTTGGTGGTGTCTGCATTGTAGTGAGCAAATGTCGTTTGATAGTATTTATCTTATGTATGGTTGCGAATGCGACATTTGTGTTTTGTGTTCTTGTAGTTGGGAGAAAGACTCCTCAACTTACACACCTATAAAAGATGGATTGATGAGACCACCACCCCTGCAATAATAAATAAACAATAATAATTAGATTAGTCCACTTCCTTTGGCTGAGGTGTTGTATAGCCTGATGGCAGTGGGAACAAAGGATCTCCTGAACCTCTCTGTTCTGCAGCGCAGTGAGATGAAACCTTTGCTGCACCTGTAGCTGCTTCTCTGTCCTGTCAGAATGTTGTGGAGAGGATGGTTGGTATTGTCTAAGATGGCCTCCGTCTTACATTGCATGCATCTCTCCACAACAGTCCTGAGTGAGTCCAGACTCCTGCCAAGCACAGACCTAGCCTTTTTCACCAGCTTGTCCAGTTTTTTTGTGTTCATGTCTGACATGCTGCTGCCCTAGCAGACTGCAGCATAAAAGAGTACACTGGCCACCACTGACTGATAAAACATGTGCAGCATTTCACTGCAGACGTCAAAAGACTTGAGCTTCACGAGGAAAAATAGCCAACTCTGCCCCTTCAGGTAGATGGCATTCATATTCAGGGACCAGTCCAGTTTACTGTCCAGGTGCACACCTAGGTATTAATAAGTGTGCACCACTTACCTCGAATGTTGACTGGCAGAAGGGTGTGCTTAGACCTCTGAAAGACGATGAACATCCTTGGTCTTGTATGTCTTGGTCTTTGATGTTCAGAAGGAGGCAGTTCTTGTCGCTCCATGCACTGAAGGCCATCGTCAGATCCCTGTACTCCTCTTCCTGCCCATTCCTGATACGCACCACAATAGCTGTGTCATCCGAGTATTTCTAGATGTGGCAGGACTCAGAGTTGTATATAAAGTCCACCGTATACAGTGTGAAAAGGATCGGAGCCAGAACAGTCCCCTGTGGAGCCCCAGTGCTGCTCATCACTGTCCCTGAGACACAGTTGCCCAGCCTGACGTACCATGGTCGTCTTAGCTATTGAAACCTCTTAAAATGAGGTTTACAAACATACAAAGTATTCAAGAAGGTGTTATGAAGATGTAATTGCTTAGACCACTGTTATTCATACAGATGCATACTTTTATGTGTAGCTCATTTATTTTAGATTCATGAGGGTGCTCATAACAATATCGGTTCTAGCAGTCATATTTTGTGGTTGAGACCATTTCCCATAATAGAGAAATATTCTTGAATTCATCATTTGTGTCCCTGTGTCGGTCAGCCACACAAAAATATGGGAAACACTGTCCATAACCGCTGCACTTAATGCACTGACCAACCCTCCCAAATAATTACTTGAAAACCCATAAAACCATCTTCCCCTCAGCAAATAACAATAGCAATATAAAAGAGACTTGTAATTCTATGTAGCAATAGTCCTGCATTGTTATACATTCTATAGATTCAGATCCAATTATCTAAAATGTCATTTTTGTAGAGATGATTGCTTGTTCTTTGACAGTAATATGGGTGTCTTTAAAATGCTGCAATTATTGTAATATATGTAATTGTGATATCCTTTCTCTGTCACTGCCAAAGCAGAAGAAGATTGCACAGCGCTCACACGACACCACATGCAGAGCCTGTCCTGTCAGCCAATACTCACCTCTGCTTATAATCAACAGTAAATATAATTTTTGTGTGGCAATTATACACTGTGCATCTATCTTATTGTGTAATAGTATTTCAGCAATGTTTTATATATATATATATTTATGTATATAAAAATACAATAAACAAGTTACATACCACATTGGATTGTTATTTTCTGTTTTTGTGTAGAGATTGTTTATGCTGATACAGAGGAACCTGTTTCTGCCTCCTTTCTAATCAGCCAACTCAACAAGCTCAGAACAAGCTTCTCAACTGAATTGGGAACCCCTCTGTCTCCAATTCAAGCTTCACTTGAGGCAATCCGGCTCACTTAGGCCAACCACAGGCAAACTCTCACTACCATTGAAGCCTGCCTTACGGACCATATCGACAGGATTACTTCAATTGAGGCAGCTCTCACTGAATTGGCACCTGAAATCGCTTACTTTAAGGCTAAAGTGGACGACCTGGAGAATTGCTCTCAACATCAAAACATGCGCATTGTTGGTGTGCCTGAAAGCGCTGAATTGACATCTGTTAAGTTTGTCTCCGAGCTCCTGATGGAGGTGATGGGCACTGAGAAGCCTCACCTTCAATGACTTCACTGGCACCCTCGCGAAGAAACAGGCCGCGTTCAATGGCGTGAAGTCATCCCTTTATAAGAAAGGTGTCAAATTCACGATGCAACATCCAGCTGTCCTTCATGCCTTTTTTGAGGGCCAATTAATAAGCTTTGTGAGCATTTGGATGGAGCAGGACTGTGCTGATTATTACATGGTAGCTGGCTACTTTATTTGACCTGGACTTCAACAAAATTGTCTGGCAAATAGGTTTTATTATGGCCAGATCTTGTTTCATACTAGTGTAGTTTAATTATCATTATCTTTAGTAATTTTTACAACATGCTACATAGGTTAATGTAGGTGCTTTATTAGGTGACTATTTATTATGGTGTAGATATTTTTATCACCCTTAGTATCCTCAGGAGGATAGGGACTATGTTTTACAGGAAGTTGTGTAGTTGTAGCTACCTGCTGTTTGCCTTGTTTGGGAAGGTAAACATAGGACTGGGGATTTTTCTTTTTTTCTTTTCTTTTTTCTTTTGGGTTAATGTTAGAGGAAGGGATTACAGTGTTTTTAGGGGGATGCCGATTGTCTTTAAAATATTTACTGAACAGAAGCTTTACATTGACATTTATTTTGGTGGAAACTCTTTGTACTTCTATTTAATTATTTTGTACTTAATGCCCTGCATGAGTTACACAGCATTCTAATGGTCTTTTTCATGTTACACGCATGTTTTTTCTTACACTTAAGTAACCTACTTATACTTGGCCTATTCTTAAGTTATATTTCTGGCAATATTAACTTTTAAGGCTTAATCTTTTACCATAGGGAATAAACCTGTTAGACTGATGTCATGTCACATTAAGGGTTTAAATGGTCTAGTAAAGTGGACAAGGGGTTTGTCACATCTGAAGGGACTACAGACAGATACAGTATTTCTGCATAAAACACATCTACATGACTCAGACCAAAACAGGCCGTGTAAATCGTAGGTGGGCCAGATCTTTCACTCTAAATTCAATATTAAGTCCAGAGGTATAGCTATTTTAATCCATAAAAAGTCCCATTTTTTCCTGATGACATTATATTAGAGTAACTGGATCCCTATCTCAAATGCCAGTAATATTTTTACCTGGTACTTAACATTTGCTGACATGCAAATTAGCATGCAGGAATTTGGACATAACCCAAGTATTGGACAAATTAAAAGTTTGACCTGTTGATGGTACTGAATGAAAAGTCAGGTGATCACAAGATTTATTAGGCTTCATCCTCTTTGAATACCCTTACTAAATTTCATGGCAATTCATCCAATAATTAGCACAATATTTTCGTCTGGATTTAGGTGGTGGACTGTCTGAGGAATATTACTATCCTTAGAGCTACACCCCACTGATAGGGCTGAAAAATCATTTCATCCATGCTATGGTGAATGAAGGACAGACATACAACTCCTGTCTCAGTGCTCCCTATCTTCTTTCTTTTCATTTCTCTGTCTTCTCCTAACCGATCCCTGTGCTCTTTGTTTTGTCTGGTCTTTCCCCCACAGGTTCCTGTGCTCTCAGTTGCCCAAACACTCCAAGTTAGTTTTCATTCCTCTTGTGTTTTACTAATATTTCCTACCATTCCTGCCTCTTTTTTTTCACACAGCAGCCTACCGTTATCTCCTCTTCCTGTTGTCTGTCCATGTTGGCTCTCTGCACAAAATTATCATCATTAAAACTGAGAGATTAAATTAAATGCAGTAGAAAGACACCAAGAATTTTAAAATTACACAGTGCATTATAGACTCCAACCACCTGTCTTAGACCTTCCCACTCACCTATAACTTTATGATATTCTTACCAACCAGCATGCTTGTTGATGCTTATATCCTGAATGTGGTCATAGCATGCTGTTTAAAACTTCCGCAGTCAGACGCCATCCGTCTGCTCCCCACACACCACCCTCCTGTCACCCCATATCACTGTTGCCAGTTAGCACTAAGCCTTCAACATGGTGTGTGTGTGTTGTGTGTGTGTGTGTGTGTAATGTTGATTAACTGTTCTTACTGCTCCACCTCTCGCTGCAGGGATGAGGGAACATCCTCCCATTGCTATCTCTGACCTGGCAGACGACATAGAGAGACTCACAGCCAATGATGGTCTGCGCTTCTCTCAGGAATACGAGGTAACACTTCCTGCTTTATATTTATTTTTCAAGTGAAGCAATATGTGCTTTGTAACCAAAGACTTTTGGTTTTTGGCTAAAATGAGTGAGATCGTTTTGTGAAGTTAAATTGATTGCGTTTTGATTATGTCAAGAGTATTAGATAGGATTTTCCAAATCCTGTTTTATAGTTGTTGACACCTTCACAAAACAAGTTCCCCAGTGAACTGAAGAGCTGCTAGAGCTATAGCTGCTCTTGTATGCATTTTTCATTGATAGATCAGTCTTGAGTCTGATTCCCCCATTCACAATCTAGCCTTGAAGCAGACAGTTATCTCCATTATTCTTTGCATTGTTTTAATTTCAATTAGAGAAAGACCAGGTGAGTCATCTGAGGCCATAACCTGCATCACAATTGTATTCAAATTAGGTTGGTTATATAATACTGTTCTATAATACTTCTATTCTCCTATCTTCTAGGTAAACTAAAATTATTTCAGATTCATTACAAATTCTGTTTGTAGTTGGGAGATGTGGAAAACAACGTATAGAGTTCAATCCATGTTTACTTATTTAGCACAGTAAAATGCCATAATATGTTGTGTTAAATTAATTCTTCTATTATTGATAATTCAGTTGTTATTTTTAAGTTATGAATGTAACTATGGATCTGTGAGACTGAAGGATGGTCGTGATTATGGTCTAAATATGTAATATAATGATAATCCTCATTCCACTTATTCTGTCACGACCAGGCAAGGACTCAGGACACAGATGCAGGGTTCAATTGACAGTTTTTTATTGTTTCTTCAGAACGCCTCCAAGTGGAGAAATAAATAGGCTATCAACCTAGCCCTCACTATATATGAGGCTATAAAAAATATCAAAATAATAATCACTCCACTAAGGAGGAAAACACAATGGATTATTAAACTATTATCTGTAAATAAAAACTCTCCAGGCTCTACTCTATAAAAGGTAAGTAAACAAAAGATCACTCCACATGGAGGAAACAAAAGGCAATCTTTAACTATGACACCAAAACTAGGAAATAAACTTACAACTCAAAAACTCTCACTTGGAGGAAGAAGAACACAAAACTTCAGGAACGCTGTGACGAAGAGCTGGGGTGCACAGGACAAAACCCCAACTGGACCTCAATGCGGTGTGACATATTCTTGAGACCTTATGTTAATGTCCATGACACCAGGAACTTCCCACACTCGCTCTTACCTTAAATGCCTCAGAGTTATTAACATTGTAATGATTAGAATTAGTGTTGTAGTGGCATATCTGGATCCTGCAAATCCAGGATCAGAGATACCTGCAGAATGACAGAAAGAGAGACAGAGAGGAGAAGCACACACTAGGGGAGAGAAAAAATTTGAAATATATAATATCATACATGAAGTAGTATCATGTAAATGCAGAGAGAGAGAGTGCTCAATGCATCATGGGAGTTCCCCCCACAGTCTAGGGGAATGGCAGCATATCTAGGGGCTCACCTGAGCCAGCTCTAACTATAAGCTTTGTCAAAGAGGACAGTTTGAAGCCTGATCTTAAATGTAGAGAGGGTGTCTGCCTCCTGAAGCCAGACTGGCAGGTGGTTCCACAGGAGAGGAGCCTGATAGCTGAACCTCTGCTCCAATTCTACTCTTAGAAACTCTAGGAACCACAAGTAGATCTGGGTCTAAGGTGTTTAGGGCCAAATTAAATAAGATCAGTTTTGTCCAAATTTTGAAGTTAAAAATTGTCTTTTAGACAAGTTTGACTAACTGATTACTCTCATCATGCTTCATACAGCTGGGTGTCTTGCCTGTTGCAAGGGTTGAGCCTTGCAATTACCTTAAATAATTGACACACTAAAGGACGCAAGCCATTGATGGTGAAATGGTGTGAACATAAACCCTATTTGTACCAACTACCTTGACTTGGTCCAATTGAGACTACAGGAGATGTGTAATCTGAGTTAACAGATTACATCTCAGACCCATAACTGCAGTTGCAACATTTGGGATGGCACTTACCATGGTAGACCCTGTATCAGCTAGATTAGGTCTGGAAACAATGGCTTTCCTGGCCAGCTAGAAGCCAGCAAAACTATGTCCTGACCTTACTTTCCCAGAGAATCAGAGGGAGAGAAGGAAAAGAATTCCTGTGACCAAACAGCCCCCTGATCCACAAAGAAGTACCATTCCAGGAAGGGATGTAAAAAGATCGACCTGGGCTAGCCTGTATCAAACATTACATTGATGTAATAACCACTTTCCTGGGAAAGGTCCTGTTCAGCCCTGTTTTCTATACTTGAGATGTGGTTTGCATTCAGACAGGCTATTCGAGGTAATGCCATGTCAGGTAGCTCCTTTGCTACATGGATACAATGTAGTGACTTCATTACACCCAAAGATTTACATCTACATTATATTTATATTTATATTTACATAAAGATTTATATGGTCTGACCTCACTAGCACATGCTTATGGTGTATAAATGACAAAAGACATGTAAGCAAGGTGATTAGCCATCAGTCCCAGCACATATTTGTGTTCTGATTACTAAGGGGGTTGTCACATGGCCCTCATTATCCTGCCCTTTCAAGATGGCTCCCCAGCCCTCCTCTGTTGTGATCATATGTCTTCAGTGAAGAATGTTCTCTGGTGGGGTTCCTCTGAAAAGGAAGTCAGTGTCCCTCTCGGGGAGCAGAGCTCGCACACAGGGTTGTGTTACAAACAGCCTCATCCTCCTTTGCTTTTCTGGATGGAGATGGAGTTGAAGATGAACCACTGCTGCATGGTCAAGTCTTGGTCTGTTTGCCTACTTGTCCGTGCATTTAATTCTGTACCCCACCATCTGGGGATATATTCAGCATTATCATGATCTCACAGATGATGCACTGATGTGGGTCCTTGGCTGTGTTAAATACAGTTGGACACACCAAAGAATATTCATACTAATAACTTCCATGCTGTTGAGATCAGTAACTGCACACCATACTTCATGGGGAGAGTTCTAGTACAGTGACTGCCATCTACCCTAAACACATCAATGTTTACATTAACTTCAGATCAAACCAAAGATATTTAACACCAGTGAGTAAATCAATCTGTTTATATCAGGTGTAAATATGTATGTTCAGAAGAGTGCTACCTGCAAGGCCAAAGGAAGGCCTGAAGTGAAGTTGTTGATACTAAAAACCCCACAATGCATTACAGCATCTCGCCAGGCAGTTCTTGATCTCAGCAGACTGGACATAGACAGAGTAGGTCATGTTTATCAAATTACTTTATTCTACTTATTTCATAACTATTTAAGGAACACCACAGATGAAGATAGTACCCATGATCAGAGCAGTATCATTCAATCTGTTGGACTTATCAGGATTTTTTTTTTTTTTTTAAAAACATGGCAAACAGTATAATTAACTGTATATATTCTATACTGTATAGAAGCACATAGAACTTAACATAAACTTGGATTCATTCATTCATGGTGTATTGCTTGGTATTAACTGAATAAAACATTAATTAATCAAGGACAGAATTAGCCTAAATTGTCTAACAGCATTGTGGAACGACTGATATGTTTTTTAACAAAATAGAATGTTAGATATTACTCACAAATCCCTGGGTTGTCATCTGGAACATGGGTGAACAATGAGGAACTGGGTGATTAGAACCAAGAGTGGTAGGCTGAAAACAACAGTCCAGACCAAGTAATAGCTGTGCGGTGGACTTCTGTTCCTCAATGCGTTGTAGTGTACAAGTGTGTACAAGACAGTTTTCTCAGTCACTTTACTCATTCACTTCATTCATTTACCTCTCATGCTGAGTTCATTTAAGCTTTAAACCATTTAACAACATTAACACATACAGTAAAATTAGCTTTTCTACATTGAAAAAAATGCTATTATGGCTAGTGCGTGGTTAGCTTTTCACGGTTAGCTTTTCACTTTAACACATGAAAATGAAGCAGTATTAACATACATAAATGTTAAAGCAAATGAATAAATGTTTTCTTACCTGATATTTTACTTACCTGAGCTGCATAGTTACTCTCTTTACATCGACGCCCACATTGGAAACAAGTCTTGGTCTTAAGATTTAATGTATAATCATTGTGTCCATTTAAGTGAATAGGAAGGTGGTCTCAGACTTTTGGATAGGTGAGCTCTGATTAGTATGAAATAATGTGAATCATATGCTAAGGCCTTTGCAGGTACCATATATCACCCAGCTGAACACTACCGTTCATAGAAGCTGTTCTGGCAGCACATGGATGCCCAACACCTCATTAAGACATTCTATGTTGGTTTTTCCTTTAAGAGAAAAGGAGAAGTGAATAGAAAATAAGTGCACTTCTTATTTGAGATGTGGTTTCCCAAACATTCAAATCTGTATTGGTTTATCTGCTTGGAAATTCACCACTTTAAATGCAGTTACCTTCCTTTATAGGACATGAACGAGCCAAAATCTCTCAATGGCTTTTACAGTAGGTGAAAGCAGTCAAATATTATTCTTGGAAAAGAAGGAAAGAATTCATGCATACCTAGCAGCATCTTTTTTACTAATGCTGCGCTTAAATTCTGTAACGACAAGTCATCTACAGAGCTGCCATCTAAACATCCAGTCTAAACATTTCACTTTTCCCTGAGATGTTTAGACTCATGTACAGACATGAGTCTAAACATCAGTTCATGAGTTGCTGTTTCAGAGGTGTTTTACTCTGACAAGAAGATATAATTATAAATAAATTATTTATTTGTTTTATTTGGCATTTGCTGTCATAAAAATGGGAAATAAGAAAAAAAGTCCATACTATCACCTTTGGTAAGTCAAGAAAATGCTAATACTATGGCTTGGCTATGCTTCCTTCCATTTCATAGAAGTGGTGGTCAGAAATTGTGGGACTTTCAAGAGACAAATAAAAATGATTGAAGTTCATGCAACAGCGGCTGAAAAATCCTGACTTTTTGTACCTAACATGAATCAAGCTCCAAAAATACCGGATCGTCTATTTCCCA